TTTGGCATACTATCTTCGTTGAACTAATATGGAACTATTTATAGGACGGATGAAATCTCGGTTACGCGTTAATGGCGCGAAATATATTGCGCGTTAATTGCCCCAAATCGGCCAAAATGGCAATTTTAAACCCCCATAACTTTACAAAAAACGATCATAGGTGAAATATCTTTTAAAATTTAAGCTTAAGACAACAAAAGTTTTCGAATGATGTAAAAACAACCTGTCAAAATAGCTAGCTAAAAAGTCGAAACTTGTCTGAAGAAAAAAAAACCCACCCCGAGCACAAATATTCCGTTACTTTCGTTAATAAAGTCCGAACAATATTTTTTTTTTCAAAATCGGTCAAAAACTTTGTTCTTCTTTTGCCAACAACTAAATGGCGTACACAAAAAGTAGCCGGTATACTCAGAAACTACCACCTGATACAAGCAGTTTTGTTAAATCGGAGCTTTAATGAAAGAAAGGGGGTAGTTGTTTGCTTGAACAAGACTGCTCGTATCAGGGCAAAGCCGTAAAACTTCCAACTGCCTTTTAATGTGTATGGAGCAGTAATAGCATGGGAAATTTAAATATGTTAAAATAAAATGTGTTAAAATAAAATAAAATGTTAAAATATGTTAAATTAAAATATGTTCGGGGGTAGTTGTTTACTTGAACAAGACTGCTCGTATCAGGGCAAAGCCGTAAAACATTCAACTGCCGTTTAATGTCTATGGAGCAGTAATAGCATGGAAAATGTAAATATGTTAAAAGAAATTTAATTTTTTTTCTAAAAAAAATTTGAGATTTTTTGTGAAAACATTCACCCACTCGCCATATTAAGTACAAAATGATAGATTTTGCTCTTTTAAACAAACTAATTTTGGCATACTATCTTCGTTGAAATAATATGGAACTATTTATAGGACGGATGAAATCTCGGTTACGCGTTAATGGCGCGAAATATATTGCGCGTTAATTGTCCCAAATCGGCCAAAATGGCAATTTTAAACCCCCATACTTTTACGAAAAACGATCATAGGTGAAATATCTTTTAAAATTTAAGCTTAAGACAACAAAAGCTTTCGAATGATGTAAAAACAACCTGTCAAAATAGCTAGCTAAAAAGTCGAACCTTGTCTGAAGAAAAAAACCCACCCTATTCCGTTATTCCGTGAAGAAAAAAAATCCACCCAGGGGCACAAATATTCCACTTTTTTTTCGTTACGAAAGTCGGAACAATAAGTAGGTCGAACTTTTGGCTGATCAGAATGCAGCAAAATAGATCCGTTCAATCATTAAGGATGCAGAGGTAAGGGCGTCATTCTACCCTAAAATTCAAAATCTACCCTACGGAAAAGTTATGCAGCCTCTTTGATATGGCGCGCAGTAATCAGTTTTAGAAAATTAACCTCATATCGAGTCACCACCTATTCAGTTTGGAACGTAAAAAGGATTTGATAAAACAATCTAAATTCAAACAAATTTGATTTGAAACTTTTATTGGATACCATTTAATAAGTATCAGAATCCAGAAAACATCGGCAAAAGAAAACAAGGATAGCCGGTTGCTGTGTAAGTAGCACATAATGCTCCAGCCATACTCATAAAAAAAAGTTTTTTTTTTCGTTTCTTCTTCTCATAGTAGTTTCTTTTTCAGTGCGTAGTGTGATTCAAGTACTATACAAATGCGTAGAAAAATACTGATGTAGACATAATTGGTAAAAGTATAAAAAAAATTTTTTTTTTCTAAAATTTTCTAATTTATTTTTTTTTTCAGAAAACCTTTATTGACAAAAAAAATAGTTAAAAATTTAGTTTTTGTATAGTAAAATTAGGTATTTTTCAGCCTAAAAAAGTAAACTATCATATAAAGATTGTTACTCGATGCCTTTACTCGCTCAAAAGTGTACCGAAAAAAAAATAAAAACCCGTTTTTCTCGACAATGGGAAAAACTTTCAATTTTTTTACCGTCTATCGAAATACGACTGTAAGGGTTTTAATATGGACAAATGACTTCAACCGGTCAGATAATTATTTGTGATACCTGATTTTGCGTGGGACAAAAGAGAAAAAAAAACACTAAAACACACCCGAATCCAAAATTTCTCCCCATTTTCAATGAACGGAACAAAAAGAATTTCTTCATGATCAATTGTTTGGCATTTTTCTTACGTTATTGTTCCGACTTTCGATACGAAAGTAACGGAATATTTGTGGTCGGGGTGGGTTTTTTTTCCTTCAGACAAATTTCGACTTTCTTTTCTAACCTTTTTTGATGGGATTTTTTTATATCATTCGAAAGGTATTGTTGTCCTGAGCTTAAATTTGAAAAAATATTTCACCTGTGATCATTTTTCGTAAAGTTATGAGGGTTTAAAGATTGCCATTATGGCCATTTTGACCAATTTGGGACAATTAACGCGCAATATAATTCGCGCTATTAACGAGTAAGCGAGATGAGATTTAATCCGTCTTATAAATCGTTCCAAATTGGTTGAACGAAGTTTATTTGTGATGATTGATTTGTTACAAGGAACAAAATCTATCTTTTTGTACTTTATATGGCGTGTGGGGGGAAGATTTTCATAAAAAAAATTCATATTTTAGAAAAAAAATTTCATTTTATTTTATTTCATTTATTTTTTTTTATGTATTACTGCTGCTCAATAAACCTTAAAATGCAGTCGGAACATTCAGGGCTTCGCCCTGATACGAGCAGTCTTTTTATTATTCCGGACAAATAACGAACTTTCTGAGATATAAACGCATCATATAAAACGCAATTAAAACCATGACATTAAAATATTGGGGAAGAATTGTATGACTAGCCTTCTTCGTTGTATGGGATTTCTATGTCTAGCAATTTTACATGTTAGGGAAGAGTATGGACAAATTTTTTCCATAAGGCTAGAGAGAACACAATTGTTCAGGCCTGTAGGTGAAAATTTGATTTCAAAACTCTCAACAACTGGATTTTGAGCTTTATCTCTGCCTTACAAAAATTTCCATTCATACAATTATCATATATCTGCAGTTATACGAGTAGCATGTTTGTTATATTGGAGTCGACGGGCGGTTTACACATTCGAGAAAATTGACGATCGACATTTTTTTGCGCCTCATTGAAGAATTTGAAATCCTGAGTTCAAATTAAAGCAATAATTTATAGGGTCTACAAAACAATAGAATGCTTCTTCGATCAAACTACAGGAATAATTTTTGCCCCCTCCCCCCGTGTAGTGGAGTGATGCGCTATGTAAAATGCTCCAAATTGCACGAAAATACTTAAAATTTTGTGCATAGTTGGCTTTTTGTACCTTCGGATAAATTCCGACTTTTGACCAGCACGTTAAACAAAACAAAATGAGGCCCTGAGCTCAAAATTTTACGATCAATCCCAAAATATTTGCGATCTTTTTAAAAACAATTTGTTGATTTGAGAATGCAAATTTAGCTAATTTTTCCGATAAAAAACCCTTGACTCTGAAACTTGGCCCTGTTACAAGTAGTTTTGTGTATCAAGAATGTATAAATACGTTTGTGAACAGGGGCGGATCTAGGATTTTCTTTTCTCGAAGGGGGTATAGGTTTAGTCCATTTGTTTTAGTTCGACGTAGTTCTTTTTCCATGCTCTCCGAAAACACTAAGAAGACCCTGTTTTGGTCAAATTGTTTGCGCCGCAAGTATATTTTGAAAAAAAAAAACAGGCCGAAAAATGCATTTTAGGCATTTTTTGGAGTAAATGGAGGTCTTAAAACAATACCAAATAATCCTAAGCCATCTCCTAACCCCCCCCCCCTCTCCCTCAAATCCGCTACTGCGCGGAAACATTTTGTACCCACTCCGTAAACGTTTTAAATCAACCAGAAATTTCGTGTTGGCATATCACAGAGTTCATTTTGGTTTGTGCTGGAGAGAATAATGTAATTTTTTTTCCTTTCTATTTACTGTTTCGTCCCCTTTGTGTCAACCCATCAATTTTTTTGGTGGCATTATAGTGAAAGTTGATATGTTCAATTGGTTTGGTTATTCAATGCAGACGTCTCATTTTCAATTAACAAAGCAAGACCTTCAGGCTTTACCGTATATCAATAGAAAAATGGGAAGCTATGAGAATATGAGAACCTCGCCTCGGAAAAACTGAAATAATGTGATTAGAATTGGAGGGGCTGATTTTGATTAAATTTTTGGTCTCTCTTGACAAAAGTTTCAACCGCGGGCTATTATCGTGTACAGAATTTCAAAAGAGCTCGAGGATGGAAACAAATGCACTATTCGGTTTATCTTTTCATTGACGTACATAAATCTGACTAGGTATACATATAAAGCTGATATTGATTGCAAATTTGCAGCTTGCACTTTTATTCCCTGTATTCAATTCAAAAAATATATATCCAAATAACTTAGAACTGATAAACAACTATTTTTTGAAACATTTTTTTTCTATTTGGAAGATTTAACTACATGTTGATCATAATTGAATACGTAAATGTAAGGCAACAATAAAAAAGGCATTAGTTCAATTTTTGAGAATTAATACCACCTGGTAAAAATAAAGAAAAACGGACAAGACACTGTTTTAGACATCACACTATTCTAATCGATAATATATTGGGAACCAACTTTAATCCAAATACCGTATTCTGTATGTTGATGAAAGTATGAAAGTTGGTTTTGAATATTATACCTATAAAAAGCGCGTCTTGCTTAAAACATCCTATTCAAAATTACTCCTAAAAATCATTAAACCATTTATTTTATATTGCTAGACAAAATACTTCAGACAAAATCATCATATTACATCCAAAAACGAGCCTCGCGTTCATATAGCTCTGTGGCGTTCCTATAAATCATTTGGGGCAGAGTAAGTTTTTAAAAAATCCGAAAAAATGTAAAGGTAATTCAATGCCATACGCCTCAGCGCCAATCGGCCATCCTTTCATTAGTGGTTCACAGCAGACCCTTGAAGCAATCTGTAAGAGGGACTATTCTCATTGCAGAAAGATCGAATTTTCAAAACTAATCAACTGAATGCGGATAGATGATTTTGTCTGAGAATTCGGGTTTTCTCTCTGGATAAAAATATTGTTGAAATGCATTCGAAGTTCTCATCTCCTATTGGTTGATTTTTTCTGAATGAAGTGGAGCTATAACAACACAGGAAAACATTTTTTGTACAAAACGTGAGCCATTTACCAATTGGTGTCTATGTCGTAAATATTTTATTGCCTTTTACAAAATAAAAGTCAGATTCCCGAAATTTTACTATTTATATTTCACTTGCACTTGTAAAACCCCGTTCACATATTTTTAGACGGCAATTTGAATTTAATCACCGGATATAATAACTCATTACCAACCCTGATTCAGATTTTAACTTCCCGTTATCAAATTGTTTCGCTAACAAAGCATAAAAATTGAATGTGTTCACGACGCGTGATGAACTGCATGTAAAGGAGACTAAAGTAGCCCCAGTGGAACAGAATATTTTGAGAGTTATCCCGCCGGTCTAGGCATTCTGTCTATTTATCTGGTTTTCCCACGGCAGCAGGTAGCCGTAGCTCTCTTCGACCAAGACCCCAAACTAATTTTTACCCCCCTCACATTGAATCCCTTCGGAATTTGAAGGAAAAAAAATATTTCGACTATCATAATGGAAATGGAACGGACAAATCAAATTCAGTTTGAGGACCACGAGATTCTGCTGGAAAAACATTTGTGTTCAGGTTTGTTAACTTTTCAACAGTTTATTTTCAAGTATAATTTTTGAATTAATTTTATGACTCTTCCAATACAAGAGGTAGTTTTCCATCAGCTTTTTGATATCAAAAGCACCTTCATCGTCACAACACAACAGAAGCGTATCTAGGATTTTCTTACCGAGCGGCGGCTTTTCAAAAAACTGTGGAACATTTTGTCGACCTTCTTTTTAGGCCGACCATTTTGATTTTCCGAGCTCTCCCAAAACACTATAAAGACAAACTTTTGACAATATTTTCTATGTCGAAATTTTGAAAAATCAGGCAAAAACATTTAGGCAAATTTTTGGAAGTGTTTGACGGAAAAAAATTGCGTGTTTTTGGCGCTCCCCTTTCAAAATTAATATTTATTCGCTCCTTTAGAAAAATTATTGGGTCATCAACCAAAAATAAATTTCAGAAAATGGTACTGAAAGGGGACTTTTTGTTTGGAAAGGAGATCGAATCCCTGAGAAAAAGCGTGAACCTGTCCCCCCGCCTCTCCCTAAATGCGCTTCTGCAACATAACGACACTGCTTTAAAAATATTTTTGACGAAATTATTTGTGAATTGAGAGAGACTGAAAAACTTTTTCTCCATCAAAACCCATCAAATATGATGGAAAAAATTGTCAATGAAATGAGTGGGATTGAAGTATTTCCTCAAAGCTAAGAAATGACAGCTACAAAAAGATCTCTCCTGTGAAAACCTTAGATTAGTTCCCCTCAGAAGTAGCGATTGATCATAGCCACGAGGCGTCGTAGGATTTTCAAAGACGCGGCTGGAGTGTCAAAATATTGGAAAATATGTCAATAATTTCAGGTAGGCAATTGATTTTCGGGTTCTCCAGAAAGTATAAAAGCAGAACTTTTGGAAAGGAATACCTTTGAAAGTTCTTTTTGAAAACTTGTGTCATACTTTAATTCAAATGTTAGGAAAATTTTCTTCTCTGACAACAAACTCTTCAAATTTATTGCTTTTTGGCACCTTTTAAACAATTAAGTTTTTTGTAAATGCGATTTTGTAACTGCCTCATAAGTTAACCCTGTGCAGGGACGGATCTAAGTTTTTGAAAAATTTTCGAAAATATTCAAAAAAAAATTGAAAAAAGCCAAAAAGTCTGTTTTGGAAAGTTTGACTCAAAAATTGAGTTGTTTTCTATCACAATTCCCCTCAAAGTTACAGAATATTGGCGTCCAAGGTTCCTTTACTAAAAAAAATTTGGGTCATAAAAACTGATCGGAAAACAGCACCAAAGGGTATTACGGGCTAGATGGTGGCCCATTTGGATCCTTTGGGTGGCGAAGAGATCGAGAGTGATTCATTTCTCCAAACAATTTTGTTTGCAACTTAAAAAAAGCACTAGTAAAGCATGTATACTACCCCCCTCCCCCATCCCACCTGCGATCCATAAAACTATCAGATTTTTTTGATAACAGGGACATTATCAAAAGTCTCTGACACAAATATGGCATGATGAAAGAGATGAATCTCAACATATGACACTTTATAACCAGCACTCAGTTTGAAATCAAGAAAAAACCCATAGATGCTTCATTTTTGCTTCATCTTTTTCGCTGGAAAAGCTACGCGCAGAAACAAGTCCGCTAGCAATCAATTTCGGTTTTTGCTAGAAGTTGTAATGACACAATGCTTAATACTATCGGCTTAAAACTTTCTATGCCGAAAATAACGTATTTTTTTGCCAATCTGCCAACCTTTGTATCTCATTTTGGACTGTTGGGTAAACGGCTTTTACTGTAAGCGTGTTTTTTTCCAAAAAAGAGTATTTATCTGATGATTGTCTTAAATTTGAAATTGTTTTAACTTGAAGAAGCTTGGTTGAATCAGGATAAAATCTGGAAAACACTCGTGTTCAGGTTTGTCCATTTTTCAACAGTTTGTTTTCAAATTAAGTTTTGAATTAATTTCACGGCTCTTTCAATACAAGAGGTAGATTTTCATCAGCTTTTTAAATTATCACAAGCACCTCCAATGTCACAACATAACAGAGGTGTACATAACATTTTTTAAAGGGGACGGTTTTTCAAACATTGTGGAACATTTTGTCGACCTTTTTTTTGTAGAGCGACCATTTTGATTTTCCGAGCTCTCCCAAAACACACTAAGACTGTTTGTATGGCCCCTGAATGTTTCGATTGTCCCTTAATCATATCGAATAGTTTTTGGGAAAGAAAATATAAAAAAAACTATAAATTTTGGACAATATCAAAAATTTATGAGTCGTACGAAATTAAAACGAGCGATTAGCTAGCCTCACTTCATTTGGAACGATTTTGTTGTGCGGGATAATTCGCCACGCAAAAATAGTTTGCATTATAATTTCAGCAAAAAAATCTTCAAAGCGTGCATAAAGTGGTCCAGTGCATAGCCAAAATTGCAATTTTCGAACTCAAAAAAATTCGCTAAAACGATTGGAGATAAATTATTTGTTTATATTTTGTTAAAGACTATTATTTTGATCTAAATTTTTGATTTAAATTTTGACATTAGTTTTTGTTATAAACTATTATTGTGATCGCTTTAAATTGACTGAATGAAAAACACACCAAGCATAAATATTCCGTTTTCTTCGAAAGTCGGAACGAAAATTAAAATGTGTCAACATTGATTCAACCTACTTAAAATACGGTTGTCAATTATGATTTTTTTTTTCAAATCGAAGTCATTTGAATTATTTTTTCTATTTTCGGGTCGTTTAGTGCATAAGACTCATAAGTTCTATCGACAAGCATATGGCCTTCCAATATCAGAAGGCATTCCTTTTTTGGCAAATTATTCACTTTTTATCTAGATGCGCATTATTTAAGCTAATAAGCCTGCTTCAGATTATTTTAAATTATTTCAAAAGTGGCTTAAATGACTGCTACGTTTTATTAAAAAGCAAAACAAAGCGCGTACACTCGAAGTAAAAATTAAGGCTCAGGACATTTTTTTGAAAATGACATATAACAGTTTTTAACAAACTTGTTGGACAACTTTTTAGTTTCTAGAAACTTTTTTTTTCGAGGTGCAATAAGATGGCGCTGAATTTGCGTTTCAACATTCAAAACAGTTTTTCAATAGTCAAAAAAGCAATTCAAACTGATAAATTTTTTCAGAGACGACCATTTTCTGAATATCTCGAGATAACTTGAGATTAATTTTTTTTTTCAACAATGATCTGCTAAGCATTTTCTCATCTCAAAAAGCTCATAAAACTCCGAAAAACACTTTTTGAATTATTATTTTTGAATTATTTCATTTTAAGTTCTTAACAACTTAAAATCTTGTCCAATGAATTTGTTTGAAATTATGTGAAAAGCTGCAATATAAACTTAAGTTTTTTGAGAAAAAATCATATTGAGCTTAATTATTTCGTTTTTTTTTCCAAAAGTTGGAGCAAGACCTTGACGGGCCGCAAAACTGGCGGAAAAAACCGAAAAAAAAACGACATTGCAGAAAATAGAAATTGAGATAAAATATACATTAAAAATTTTAACCCTGGACAGAAAACAATGCCTGACAAATCATATTTCTTTTTTCTTCCAAAGTCAAATTAATTGAGGAAATTATCGGTTTGATTAAAAAAATTCAGCTTAAGGGTCGCGTTTATCTTCGTATGCGGTTATGTGGGTTCAAAACAATACATCACAGTTTTGCTCAAGCTCTAATGATGGAACGACAATTTTTCCTTTTTTTAAAAAAACTATGTTTGTTAAACAGCCAATCATCTTAATCAACAGTTCAAAACGTTATTTTCCTCTTTTTCATAGTAAAAGGTTGAATGAAGTTCAAACGAGTCGGCTAAAATAGAAGTTTTTCTCTTATTTTGTTCAAAATTGATCTCTTGTGTTATTTCGAAAGCTGAATCAAGATACCTGAATCTAATTGATTGAAATTAATTTCTACGCAAGCATATCTTAACTAAACCACTATTCTGGGGTCGTTTTGGTTGTAGGGCCTAAGGTTATCAAAACTTTAGAAAAAGTGATTAGATTAGAAATCAGGCTTCATATTCTGAAGCTCAAGTTCTAGAATAATTTATTTAACGTTTTGTTAATTAAGGGTGTGGTGCGTCGTTGTTTAGTCTTAAACATGACGTCATCAGTGTGCTAGCTATTCGTGCTAAACTCCATTATCGGTCAAGGTCGTTACCGACCTGCCAATCCACTTGAACCTTAACAGCATGCGCTCTATTCATTCTCTGTTCAACTTATGAAAGATTTAAGTTGTATTTACTTCTATTGTCATGACATTATTTAAATACTAATCTATCTATATTATCTATATGATAACATAACAAGGAGAATTGATTCTTGTTTTAAAACAGTCTTTCGACGTTTCACATGGCGCAGCCAGCAGTTTCGACCTCCGAGGATCGAACTGACCTGTTGGGCGTATCCGTATTTTGGCATAAACCAACTGCGGACCCACCACATAGCTGGGACTCGTGGATAGGTCAATTCAACTTGGCAATTACTCTAAGAGAGAGATGCGATCCACGAGAGTTTTTAAAACCTCCGGGTGTCGTACACGACGATCCTGCTCCAAAACCAGAAGTTGTAGGGGCGGATGAAGATGCTGCAGCAATCGCAAGTCGTATTGCACGTAATGACGCAGCAGTCCGGAAAGTCACAGAAATGAATGAAGAGCGCCGGGCGAAAGGTCCCCGAGTTGCACCAGGAGTGTATTATTTCGAGGTTGAACAACGTGTTAAATCTCGCTTATTTTTCTCGCTCGGCTCAGAAGGGAGGAAAAGATTCCTCCAAAGTTATCCTCATGCAGATCTGAGTGAATTAACGTTTCGGGAATTCCATGAATTCTGTGTTCTCCTATTCAAAAAGGAGAAAAATTTCATCATTGAACGTATGCAAATCTACAACGCGGTACATTCAGACCGAGAAAAGTTGGAAGCATTCTATTTACGATTGACGGGACAAGCCGCCCTGTGTGGATGGACAATTGATCAAGAAAAGGAAGTTGTC